TTTACTGCCCCCCCCCTTTTTTTTCGTAGTTACATTTCCTACAGTACTGTATTTACTGCCCCCCCCCTTTTTTTTTGGTCTCTGCTGCTGCCTGATTGCATATTTCTGGTTCCAAATGAGGTGGGTGGTTGACTGGTCGGTTCGTAACTCCCAGGTTCTACTGTAATTTTTTTATTTTTAAAGTGATGTATAAAAAGTCTCACTCAAGTATATATTATATGGCCCCATTCCAGTACATCTCAGTTCTCAAATAAGAATCAGTATTTATAGGGGTACACACAGACAGAGCAAGGGAGTTAGATTTATTTTTCATACTGTAGTAGTACCAGAAGTGCACCAGGCACTTTCAACCGGGCGTTTTTGTTCTCATTATAAAATAAACAAACTAATTTAAGCTACAAGACTATATTACTCTTCCACTTCTAAAGAGAAGGCACCTTTCAAGTCACAGCAACACTGTAATGGCCCTATACATCAATAAAGTTTGTACCACACAAAACCATTGCTAAAAGATGTTTTATATATATAGAAACTTTATTTACTTTAGATCATGAAAGGTTAGCTTGTCCCATTTTCCGTTTTCAGAATTTACTTTAGAATCTGATTTTGTAATACTGTACTAAGAATAATTCTTAACTTATTACAAAATCAGATAGATTCTAAAGTAAATTCTGAAAACGGAAAATGGGACAAGCTAACCTTTCATGATCTAAAGTAAATAAAGTTTCTATATATATAAAACATTTTAAAAAAATCTTTTAGCAATGGTTTTGTGTGGTACAAACTTTATTGATGTATAGGGCCATTACAGTGTTGCTGTGACTTGAAGGGTGCCTTCTCTTTAGAAGTGGAAGAGTAATATAGTCTTGTAGCTTAAATTAGTTTGTTTATTTTATAATGAGAACAAAAACACCCGGTTGAAAGTGACTGGTGCACTTCTGGTACTACTACAGTATGAAAAATAAATCTAACTCCCTTGCTCTGTCTGTGTGTACCCCTATAAATACTGATTCTTATTTGAGAACTGAGATGTACTGGAATGGGGCCATATAATATATACTTTAGTGAGACTTTTTATACATCACTTTAAAAATAAAAAAATTACAGTAGAACCTGGGAGTTACGAACCGACCAGTCAACCACCCACCTCATTTGGAACCAGAAATATGCAATCAGGCAGCAGCAGAGACCAAAAAAAAAGGGGGGGGGGCAGTAAATACAGTACTGTAGTAAATGTAACTACTAAAAAAAAGGGGGGGAGCAGCATTTTTCTTCTGCGTAGTACAGTTTCAAAGCTGTATTAAGTCCATGTTCAGTTGTAAACTTTTGAAAGAACAACCATGATGTTTTGTTCAGAGTTATGAACAACCTCCATTCCCAAGGTGTTCGTAACTTTTGAAGTTCTACTTATATCTACTATACTAGATTTAATACTTTTGCTCCATTGGTTATGGCTACATAATCTAATTTCTTAACAAAGAAAGAGTGGTAATACTGCTACTTACTCTTCCTAATTCCAAGTTCCTTTGAAGTCCCGATAGCTCGCATCCATGTGTTTTCTTTTCTAAATTATTTTTTCTGTTGTAATAAGATACTGCAGAAAAGAGAAACCTCGAACAATCTGGAAATAATAGTCAATGAGGTTTTTCTCCGAAAGAAGTAAGAAGACTACTTGAAAATTTAAATGCTGATTTTTCTCTTCTATAAATACATAACTACTTGTTTAAACTTTGGTCTGCTGCCTAACAGTACAGTAGATCATTAATTTGTTTTCTTACATTGGAGTTGTCGTTAAGAAATTGAATGATAATTCAGTGAAAGCAGCTTGTTTTTGTATAGATATGGGATGTTTCTACAATGAAGACTCATTGCAGAGGAGATTGGATTGAAGGCACAAACATTGTATCTGCACATGCTAAATAGAGGAAAAATAGATTTTGTGCATAGTTTACCAGAGAAGTGGAGAACCATTTTGGAGTTGCATTCTATCACAAAGGAGTTTATTCCTAATTACTGACTTCTTTGAAGTGTAGTTCATGGTTTAGTAGCTATCACAGTAAAACAATTTAGTTTTTTACTACTTTGTGTGAAACATATGCTAACTTTAAATATTTGAACTGTTCATTATGGTTTTGGAAAAACTATTATTGAAAAATCCCAATGGCTATAACTTTCCTGAAGGAGTACTTCGGATTTTTGTCTGATTTAGTGGCAAAATAGGCTTGCAGTAAAATAAAAATAACTTTCAGCTTCCAAGTAGCCCAGAAAAAATAGACCCTAGAATTAATCATTAGTTAAATATTCTCGTCAAGGCCTATTAATGTGTGTGTAAAGGCTTCTTGTTAGCTTAAGCAAATGTTTTTTATTAACAAAGTAGGTCACATCTTTGCTCTGCTGTGTAACAGAGTTCATGGTTCTGGCAAGAGTATTGTTTTTATATAGAGCTGTGCTAGCAAGGCACTAGTTATGGCTGATAAAGCACTTTCATTGTAAGCAACAGTTTTTTCTATCCTCCTCCTCCTCCCCCCACCTTCTCCTTCAAACACTTAAAACTTCCTGAAGAATACATGATCCTATGAGCTAGTTCTCACATGATATGTCTTGGCACATGAGTAAAAAGCTTTAAGAAGTTTGATAAAATTCTATTTTGAGATGTTGGATCACAAAATACAGTGTGCCAGGTTCACCCCCATTGTTACAGATGCGTCCAATTTGCGTTCCCCTCCCCCTTGCAGACCAGCTATGCTGAAGGGTGTATTGACCTTGGTATAGCGCAGAGATCGGCACCTTGGCAGGCCGTGTGCCAAAGGTTAAGCCCCCTGGCGAGCCGGGCCAGTTTGTTTACCTGCCGCGTCCACAGGTTCGGCTGATCGCGGCTCCTGCTGGCTGCGGTTCGCAGCTCCAGGCCAATGGGGGCTGTGGGAAGCAGCGGCAGCCCGCGCCGCTTCCTGCAGCCCCCATTGGCCTGGACCGCCGCTTCCTGCAGCCCCCATTGGCCTGGAGCGGCGAACCGCAGCCAGCAGGAGCCGCGATTGGCTGAACCGGTGGACGCGGCAGGTAAACAAGCTGGCCCAGCCTGCCAAGGGGCTTTCCCTGGTGGGCTGCGTGCCAAAGGTTGCTATCCCTGGTATAGAGGAACTTTATTTCTCAAGGGGTGGACAGGAGATTCTCATGCAGACCTTGCTTGGTATTCAGCCCCTTTCCTACCGTGTCTAGCTCTGGCCTCTTCTGGGCTGATCCTACATTCACTTAGGGCAGTGCCAGCCAGCTCTAGACCACATGGCAGACCAAGAGTCACATATGGCTTGTTCCACTGCACTCAATCCTGGTGAGCTGCCTTCTGCTGGGGGCCATGGTGTCTATCAGTTTGACCTGTTATCTAGTATGTGGATAATTAAAAAACAGTTGCTGCTGTCATTTGTTTTATTTATATAAATAAAAAACTTCAAACTTAAACTGAACTTAGTCAGTCAGCACGCAGTCTCTGACGTGATGGAAGAAATTTGGTTTAAAAACACTGTGTGTGTGTGTGTGTGTGTGTGTGTGTGTGTGTGTGTGTGTGTGT